CTGTATGTGGGATCCGAACCCTCGGTGGGAGTGCCACCGCGCTTCCCAAGCGGCGCACTATCCAGTGTGCCACCGGGCCGGCCCTGTACCCCAGTGTTTGAATACCCAACAGACCATTTGTCTACGGCAGATATATGCACATATGTGTATCCAGAAAGGTTGATTCTTTGACTCTATCATGTTCCACTCTCTCACAAGCCTTTCTGTTTTCCATATGTAACTCTCTCTCATGAAAACTGCCATGGCACTACCCTGAATATGAGATGGCTCTAAACACTGGCACACACCCTCAGGTGGTACGCAGCCACCTACTGTAGCAATGTAAGCTGCTTCTGGTGACAAAGTTTTTGAGTGCAGCTCGGAGGTCACTGTCAGTTGTCAAAGGGAGGCAGAAAATATTGAAGGTGAGGCCACCGTGTCTTTACCGAGCTAATGTGGTCCTGTGTCTCCTTCACTCTTGTCATCTCAGGTGTCTTCCCAATTGCCGTTCCTGGTGAGACATCCTCTTTATATAAAACCTGGGCATTCAGAGGCAGGGCAGTGTTACATGGGAGAAAGGAAAACCCAGCAATTCCTGGAGAAAGACTAGGACACATGGCTTCTGTGAAAACAAAAGACACTAGACAACATTCCCAGGCAAGCACTGGAGGATCGTGTCTGACATCTCCCATATCAGTGTCAGTGACTCAAACCATATACAACATGAATCACTTTCCAGATCTTGAGATTCTTTTAAGATTATCGTGCTATTTTAATACAGGATGAGAAAAATCAGAAAATGTTGATTAGCAAGAACAACAAAACCCTTCCATATGGAACACAAAATCCATTAAAGAAATGCAAAGTCAGTCAGTTATTTGGGGGAGGCGTTACAAAAAAAACTGCAATGTCAAAAAAAAATCCATCTTCCTGGAGTAAGAAAACATGTGTTTTCCACTTTGGTATTAAAAAACTTAAAAGGAAAGAAAAGCTGCTTTGTTAGCATATTTAAGTTATTTCAAATTATCTCTGGAGTGATGATTTTGGAGCAAAATATGGGGAACTTTAACAAATAACCACTAGGATTAAGTGGAGAAGTTAGATATGAATTGTCTGTATCAATGTGAGGCTAGTATATTTTTTAAAAGGAGAATGGATTATTGGGTTAGCCTTAAATGGAAAATAAATAGTAAATATACCGAGCTGAAATTCTTTTGATTTTCTTTAACACGCAGTATTTCTGGCGTGTCTTGAACAACTGTAATTTTTCCTTTGCTGTTTTTAAGGTCACACTGGTATTGGAGCTGTGAAGAAAGAGTAAACATCTTGTTAAGATTTCAATAAGAAAGTATCCCTTGCCTAGATTTAACTTTGAAAAAGACAGATGTCACCACTCATGGAAGATGGTGATAGTTCATATTCAGTGATGGGAAGCCACTGATGGGCTCTGGACATACTACCCCAAAATATGGCACTTCAGCATTTGAGAAAACAGCAGAAGTAGGAGGGTCTCTCTGACTTTCTCCCACTGTTTTCCCCTCAAACAGGCAGTCAAAGAACTCTCTGACCTTCTACAGTAGATCATAAGACCCTCATTCCAGAGGGGTCTTCCCTGTACCCCAAGGGAGCTTAAGACATAGAGATGCCAAGAAGAATCTGAACACCCAGGCCTTTCTAAATTCTCCCAGTTGACTACATTAGCTCATACCCTCTTTGTCTAGTCGTACTTCATGACTGTCCATAAAAATACACAGATCTCCTTGTTTCTTTGGGTCTTCATTTCTGAAGGCTCCCATGTCATGTAGAACTTATTTAATATAATTTATATTTTTCTCTTGTTAATCTGTCTTTTGTTATAGGGGTGCCGACCAAGAACCTTGTGATGGGTGAGGAAAAGATAATACTTTTCTCCCCTACACCATCAACAAAGTATCAGATGGGTCTTTCATGCTGTGATTTGGGGATTGAAATGTAAGGCGAGCTCAGAGAAAAATCGACATACATTTCCGGGGGCGTGGATGGAGCTGCGGAGCTCAATAGTCCCATTGCAGGGGTGGGCTACCCGAGCGTGTGCCTGGAGACATCCTCCTCAGCCTGCCCAGGTCCCTGTGGGCTGTGTCTGAAAGTCAATAAAACTTACAAGGCTGAAGTTCTTTTGGTTCTCCCGGACTCTCTGCATCTCTGGGGTGTCCAAAACGGTCTCATAATATGACATGGATTTCTCGGCATCTTCCTTGTACTTTTTCTGGGAATAGATTCCAAGAAATAAGGAGGGTAAACACCACAGGGATTTGGGCCAATGGGACCTAAAATAGCTCTTCTGGCTCAGCAGAGGAGAAGTCCTTTGTATTTTCCTGACTGCCAAGGATGTTGGGAGTTAGAAAGCAGAGCCCTCTTGGTCAGTGAGCACCATGCCTCCTTTTGCCAGGACTGAGCCTGGCATTTAATAAGACCCACTGTCATGGCAGAGCCGGCAGAGAAGGGCCCATGCTGGCTGGCCCACATGAAGGGGACCATTCAGCTGGGAGGCAGAGAGAAGCATGAGGATTAAGAGCTGAGAACACGGCCTCCTGAAAGCCGGCCTTCGCTAGTGAAAAGGATCACTGACCATGAGCAGTGCGGTGGGGCTCCTGGCTGCAGGACTGAGCAGGCCCAAAAGGCGCTTCCAGAAAATGGCTCGGTGCTGCAGAAACCAGCCTAGTAAACAGATAGATCTGGGGCCACCACTGTGGCCAACCCGTCAGCCAAAGACTGCTCTACACCAGCCATTGCTCTTCCTTGGGCTTCCCTGCTCAGCCCCAGCCTTTGGTCAGACAGACTTGTTCACAGGGGGCTGCTCTTCTCCTGGGCACTTCTGCAGTCAGCTCCCTGCTCTCTGCAGCAGAACTCTTCCTCTGCCTTAGAGCCTTGTCTTTCTTTCATCACTTGCCATTATGTCCTTTCACTTTTCTCTACAGCTTTATTTAGCTCCAGTTTCTTCCTCTTTTCTGGGAAGTTCAGGTGTATAGGGATGAGGGAAAGAAACTAGCCATTTTTATAATAGGGACAATGCTATTCTTTCTATCTATCTCTATCTAAATTATATTAAATATGAATTACATTAATAAGTGTTGAAAATTTTAATCTTCCCAAAGACAACAACAAACCAATTTTAGGCAATAAAATATTTTGGCCTAGATTTTGTTCATCTAATGGAAAGCCATTTAGAGCCAAGGTTTGCACACAGCATTTGGAGATATTCTGGGAGGAAAGGACCTGGACTTCCCTGGCATTAAGAAGTGTTCAGTACAGTACCCTGAATTTGTGAGTCAGCTCACACTGCTTGCACTAACCCCCCAGTATGAGGTTTAGAATTATAAAATACAGATGCTCCACTGGAAATTGAAAAGTTTTGTGAAAAACACCAGCACCAATCCATCACTCAAGGGAAAATACCGATCTGAACTGTGGAAGAAGTAACCTGCCTGGCCATATTTTAAACTCTGAGGAACCAGCCAAAGAGAATTCCAGAAGAACACACATGACCAGAGTGAGTCAGGCCTGCATGCTGAAGTTTTCCTTAAAGACTAGCAATGCCAAAAGGCTGAAGTTAATACAACTGGTGGACCTCTCATAGCCCAAAGAATGATGGCCTTCCTGGTTTCCCCAGTGAACACAACATTATAGTCTGGGGCCCATGTAATGTTGGTAATTAAAAACAAGTTAATTATTCTTCTCTGTCACTCCCAAATAAAAGGTTCATTTCTCCCATATGAATATATCTGTTTCCTAATTAAACTACTCTCTAGCAATAATTATATTTTTCATATGTAACTTTATGACATAAAATTGTGTAATGATAATAAAGAGTTTAAATCCATGATTTTCCAACCTGATTGGTCATTAAAAGATCATCTGTGAAGATTAAAAACAAACAGACAAAAACATTTACAGAGCCTACCTCGGATTTGCTAGCTTCAGAATTCCAGGGTGGGAGCAGGGAATCTCCATTCCCAAGTGTTTATAAAACAAAGCTAGGTCAGGTAACTACTGCTTTGGAGCTCACTGATCAGAAGATAAGCAAGAACTGTAATGTGGGGCTACTCAAACAAGTTAGAGATTAATAATCCTAATGTGGGTTGTCTACTATGTTTCTTCTAGATTCGCTCACAAATTATGAGCCTTTACATGTTACAGTATTGATTCATTAATTATCGTTTGCACTGTGTAAGAGTTCTTAGTACCTTAAAATTCCCTCTTATACTGTATTTTAAATCTAACACAGAAACCTCAACTCTGACTCAAACCTGTATCACAGGTGAATCTTTTCTTTTTTATTGGGCAAAATTGTGATTTGAAAGAATCTCCTTAGGTGTTCATGGGAGGACTTGTGTTCTTCATGATTGGGGACTATTAGTGACACTCTGATGAATCTCCTTACCTTACTTGAAAGGTTCTTGACTTGTTGGGCATGAATGATCTCCGGAGTATCAACCACAGAAGTGAAATTGGCTTTTTCCATTTCTGCTGATTGCTTATACTTAATCTGTAAAAGGACAGCCAACAGTGGGACAAGTGTTTACGATGTGCACATCATTTGTTCAATTGCTTTGATTAAGAGGGACTCATTCACTTGACATTCTTCCTATGGTGTTTATAGCTTTATGCTAAAGAGTGAGATTCAGAAAGGAGGTCCTAGCTGTTGAAAGACTTACTATCTAGTTGGGTGTAGGGTGGGGCATGGGTAAGGAGGGAGATAATCAACAGTAAGGCAGAGATTGTTTACATAGAACTGGGAGAATGACAAGTGAGCAAAAGACCCACTCCAATTAGCATTACACAAGGTAGGATGCCTAAAAACTCTGTTTTAAATTTAGACATTGAAAGGAGGGAAAGAAAGGACTCCCCAAATATTCTAAGCAAGGAAATCCAAGAAAGAAGGCCAGGATGTTAGGAGTCTGCCCCAGCTCCAAGCACCTATTTGGTTCTCCAGCCTCTGTCCCTTGTGGCTGTAGACTCACACGGCAGATAGAAGCAAGCCTGGCAAAGGGTCCATGACCCTTTCAATGGAATGGATTCCAGCGGGTGGATGTTCAACAATGCCACTGTATGCATTTGACTGTCACTGACCAACAGGAAAGATGACAGAGGGACAGCATTGTGTCCTTATAATCACAACTACTTTTTAAAAAGATTGACATGGAAAGTAACACTGACCTGACTGGCAATATCAGTAGCATTCCTGGCCCTCAGAAAATCTGGAGTTTCATTGGCCATGGCATTCAGCCCTCTTCCTTTGACTTCCAGCTCCAGGTCTCGCTTATATTCTTTCTATAGTAGCATTAAAAGAAAAAAAAAAGTTAACTTCCACTGCTAGGTAATAAACAAAAAGAGTGAATATAAATCTGCACAACATGCCACCTCAGTTGTCACAGAGAGTGTCTCTTGCTAGTCACCTTCACTGTACCACGTGGTGGGATAGAGTGGGGTCTGCAAAAGCCCACTGTAGGAAACTATTCTACACATGTCCACATGTCAATATGAGTCAATATATGGCCTCCTTATGAATACTTTTAGCATTCTCTGCTTAGAAAACAAAAGTATAAAGTAAATTTTAAATTTGGTTTGGTACAAAAGTAGGATTAAACTTAGGTGCACATCACTCCAGTGTGGCGTTTTTATTTAAACTGAGTGTACTGAGGTTAAATCAAATAATATTAGATTTAAAAACAGATTCTGATACCACCATAGAAACATACTGTTACAATATCCACTCACCAGAAATTGAGATATAATTTATTTAATGCCCAATAATCATGTTGGATATGGAATTTGAAAATCAAAAACTCTCTTTTTATCTCTTCTCTGTTTTTGTTTTGTGTGCATGTGTGCAACTTGGCTAGGTAGGGGAAGATGCTCTATTAATTATGTGCATGCAGTCGGTGGTGGGCCCACCTCATTGAGGATCTGAGTGGCGTTCTTTGCTCTTAGCATGTCAGGTGTATCTTCCATTTCAGTGAGACCCTTTCCACGAATGCTTTCCTCCAGATCTTTCCTGTACTCTTTCTATATCACAAAATGAAAGCAAAAACAAAGAGAAGAAAGGTTGGATTGTTTCTCTTAGGTGAAGAGCCAAGAAACCAAAAAATAAAAAACACTTCCAACTTTTAAACAGCTCACAGTTTAGTAAATAAAGATATGATTAAAGGCATGGACAAGCTTCATCAGTTAATATTAAATATCATATAAAAAACTAGAAATTAATAGAATGCTAAGGTAAGCACATTTTATTAGGTATCCAATTAAAAAATCAGAAGAATTAACGTGGGGAATAAATTAGATGGTAGTACCAAACACATGTGAACCCAGCTTGAAACCCACAGTTAGGTGGTGATGAAAATGGCAGACGGAACACATTGATGAGTGTCATTAGTGCAATTATTTGAATCAAGAGGGAAAGAAAAGACCAAGTGGGCACTACCTCGCTTGCTATTTTGGTTGCATATTTGACATGTAACAAAGCTGGCGTGATCTCCAGGCCAGTCAGGTTTCTGCCTTTAATGGACTCTTCGTAATCTTTCCTATATTCTTTCTAATATGAGTAGGAAGAAAAGACAAGTTAAAAAACATTCTTTGTTGCAATTTATTCTCAATCCTAGGAAGAAAAAATTACAACATTTTCTTCTTATGTGCCGTCTCAACTCAATCATAGTTCTGCTAATGGTCACATATTCAAAACACGTCTGATTGTTCTGGAAATATTTTGTCTAGAGCAAATGGCCCCAAGGAAGCTCAGAGGCTGAGAAACTCTGATGGGCCCCTCACTCATCTGTCTGACGTTGTGACTGGAGCTGACCCTCTGCCAGAGAGAAGGGTGGACGCCTCATCAAGACTCGGAATCCACTGTCTCTCCTGGAGCCTTCCCACATTGTTTTCAAGATGACAAAAGATTTTGAGAACTAGAAATAAGTGACTCAAGGGGAAAATAAAAATCTCAGAGGAAGGAGAGCCTGAGGGAACTGAATGCAAACTTGGCCTTTTTCATTATCATGATTTATTTTTTTTTTCCTTTTTGTCTTTTTTGTGACCGGCAACGGATTGCAACCCTCAGTGTCGTGCCCGTACCGGACCGGGACCAGCAACGGGATCGCAACCCTCGGTGTTGTTCCCGCACCTCGCTCAGCCAGTGAGCAGCCGGTCTGTATGTGGGATCCGAA